TCACATCCTACCTTTTAATCGCTCATATTTTCAGCAGAATTAGAACTATTTCCACTTACCAAAAGATTAATGAAAGGTGAGGAACATTTAGAAGAGTCACTGCATCCTTCATCTACACCACTTGAATTTCACAATGATAAAATCCTCACACTCACCTGCACTGATGTTGGCAGGACAAAACTCAATGGCTTGTAAGGACCATGGTAGACCCTTTATATAAATGCTTGTCTGTGATTTTATTTATAGTAAATTGATCATTCCTTTAAGTGCACACTAGGTTTTACATTTCTTTTCATTAGAAGTGACATTGTGCTAAATTTAATGCCACTGTTCACTGTATTTTCTGTTATGTTTCATTAAAAATTCTGAAGAGCCTTCAGAAGTCAACCTCAACAACACCCAACAGAGGAGCAGCATTTATTTCTACTGCAATCCAACGCTGTGTCTTCAACCAAGTGACATGTAGATACAAAGTAGGTAGTTTAGTTTTTTTAATTAGAATAACTCAGCATTTTTAGACAGACTAACAATGGGGTTAGAATGTGACTATTGAGGAAATAAATAGATGTAGGTTGGAGTATTCCAACACTCTCCAGCAGTCTATTTACATTTTTCCCTTTCTCTCTGCCTAACATCACACTCTTCACTGCTATAAATGGTTGTCTATCCATATTTGTCCAAAGCCAGTGTGGTTTAAGAAAAATATATAGCACAATACAGATGTACACTACCATACACTTACTGAAGCCCAATAAATACTGTTGGGATTAATTTTATATATATATATATTTTAGCTTTCCTACAACTGAATATTGATATGTCTACAACACTTTTGTTTTCGCAAATATAAATGCAACAGTCTGTTATTTTTTCAGTTTCAGTTTTAATCAGAAGTTATAGCAACACAAACAAAAGGCAACTAAAAGAGAAGCTAAATCACATAAGGAGAACAAAAAATGTTTGTTCATCATTTACAGCAGCAGATGAACAATGTTGTTCCCTGACTGTCTCATCACTGAAGACAAACGCAGAGAGATAAGAAAGATGTATCACTGGTTTATCTTCATGGCTGCACTCATATGATTTCTCCAACTCCTCCAGGTTAACTTAACAATAGACAATCTGTTTATTGTGAGTAAGAAATTATCAGCACAGACAGGAAATAGATTAATTGAAGCTTAAAAAAAAGGTTTGTGTCTCTGGCATCCAAGTCCTGTGACACAGCGTGATCTGATAAAAGACACAGGCATCTGCTTGTCCTCGATTCTTATTCAGAGCTTAGTCTAGAACGTGCGACTGTGCCCTGTGAGTTGTTCTAGTGAACGAATGCTTGTCACCTCACGACAACCTCAGCACGAGGCATTGAGGATGGAAGTATCCTGAATGTGCCACAGAGTGTGTGCAGGTATTTGCACCCCTAGATGGATCAGAGGGATTATGGAAGCAGGGCGTGTCCACCAGAGACAAGGCAGCAGATTATTGGTCCTAACTGGGTTAATCAGTCCTGTCTGCACAGGGTTCAGCAATAGGATGACCGTCCCACAGCTAGACCCAGTCACAACATCTTATTCCTGCCAGCTGTCTAACAAATGACAGCAGATTGTCCATATATTGTTGGGTGATCATCAATTGTTTCTGTGCCCCTTGTCACGTGTCACATCTGACACAGGAGCAAATTCATACCTGCAGGCTGTTTGTAAGGTCAGCCTTCACTTAGCCTGAACTGAGGAAACTCAAAAGAATTGTATCTGAAGGTCTGAGGTCTGACCTAACGGTTTCAACAACATGGTGACCTTCAATCATTAACATATCTTTCCTTTATATCCTTCTATGCCTTCCATTTATGTCAATACATACAGTAGTGTTCACTTAGCAAATATGTTACACAACCATAGGTCCATGTTTTAGAGAAGTAAATAGAAGGGTGTTCTGCTGCTAACATTAGCACAGACAATGTTAATTCTTTTATCAATCTATTTCGTCATCCCTTTTCAATTAAATTAGCTCTGGTATGTAAACAGTATTTACTGAAAGAACCCTTAACTTGTTTCCAGCCTGTCTGCAGGAGTCCTTAGACATATTTCCTGCACATGGGCTAATCAATTTGCTGCCCCTCTGCCTGCTCCCTACCCTTGACAGGCCTCCATGCATAATGAAAAGGATTGAGAGAATGAGATAGACAGCACATTCTACCCTTGCCCTCAAGCACCCACTGTCTTTGTGTTGTTGACAAATAGACAGACACGTATAGCCCCTGTGCCAGCCTTAACAATAAAGGGAGTGTCAAAGCTTTGTCCACAGAAATATCTACAAGCTGCTTAGGCAACTTATTTAAACATCTACTCTATATGTAGATAAAACATTGTTGACAATGCCTTACTTTAGTACTCACAACAACAAAGAGGCTTACTAGAAATTAGGGCCGCTTGATCATCAAATCATAATTTTTTTTGGTCAATGTTTAAATAACGATTAGCTTAAATTACTCAATGCCTCTGGAAAGACACTGCATTAATTGCACTTAATGAACTTCGAATGTGAATTTTTTCAATGTCTTCGTGTTGCAACAAAAACGTAAATACAAGAAATGAAATCAATACAATTAAAGGCTGCTTCGCTTTTTCTGTTTTTGTATTAGTCACTCAATACTCAATACAATACACAGTTTTTTCAGGATCATAAAAAGGCAAATGTGTGTGATTGTCTATTTTAAAAAACTGACACTACTTCTAGCCTAACATGTAGAAAATGTTTAAAATTGCAAACATCAGCTTCGAGTGACTTGGCTCGAAAATAAATGGCAGTACAGGATTCACAGTGCACGGACACGCAGTCAAGCACAGTATGCAAGAGAGTTACATTTTCACACGTCACATAATCTTCACTTGCATGTACCGCTGTACTGTGTACGATTGAGCCGGATGCTTCCGTTGAATCTCTCAGCATCCTCATACAACAGCATTCTCAGCATAGCATCTGCAATGAGGATCTGGTGAAGGGCAAGAGTACATGGCCATCTGCCAGCTTCCCTTTCTGTTCTGCAATCTGCCCATGTGATAGGATGTAGAGTAGGCAGCACTGCAGCCTCCTGCTCTCCTGCTTTCTTACACACTCACTGCCTCTGTTAGCCCCCAAAAGCACTGCACACTTCACTGCAGTTCTGCCATAAACCACGAGCCACCCTCCAGTTCCACTGAATGACATTGACATAATGAAAACCCAGGGATATGAAGTCAAAGTAGAGGGGATTTGACACAAAGCTTCTTCTTGGTAGAGTATGAGAGATAAGGGGCAACTGGGCCATAACAGGCAGGGAAGCTCTGTCTTATGGAAGATTCATATTGGCTAAGTCTAATGAACCCAATAAGGCTGCTGACAAAAACCCGAGGCAAATCAGAATGTCTGCTGGATGAACAGGTTTCTGTTGTCACATGCTGTCTCTCCATGCTAATGTTACAGAGACTGATAATGAAAACAACTGACCTAGAGTGCAGGAAGGGGTAAAAAGCAGCTAGCGCTTCACAGTTCCTGATGACTCACAGTCACAGGACTCCCAGTAACAGAAACCATATTCAGGGTTTACTTCCTTCTGCTGTCATTAATACATACTTCATAATTCATACTTTTCAACATAGCAACTATGATCCACGAGGTTACAGTACACTTAGATATTCATTTCAAGTGCTTCGTAAAGTCACATTGAACTTCTAACTTTTAACATACTCAAACCCAGAACACTTGCATACATGGCGTATTAGGTCATGTGACGTTGCCATTTTCTGGGCCTTTAGGTCAGCTAAAACTGTGCAGGAACAAAGAGTAATGGGATCTCTCAGACACTGAGACATCACAGCCACCTAGCTCCTGTAGCCTAAATGTGCTACTCTTTAGACACTATTTTTTTCACCCAGGTGGGCAGTGTTTAGCTTTCCTGGCAATATTTGAGCTCCTAGGGTGATATTTGCTGCAATTAGTGAAGGACAGATGGATAAATAGGCTGCAGGCAAAACTACTGTAAAAACGCCTCACATTTCAGGTGTGGCTGATTTCCTTGAAGCCAAATACTATATGTAGCTTTTACACAAGGCAGGATTTTTTCCATGCTTTGGCTGGATACTCAGTGAGTGAGCAGTTACATTCCTCTCATGCAGAAACAAAGACATTAGATGTC